TTAATTATTATGCATAATTTTATTTATTTGTTTTTGTAAAATAATTTTTAAACATTTAATCAAAGTTTCAAATAAAATCTACGCTTTCATGAAATTATATTTAACGTGAAAATTTACATTAAAATATGAACTTTATTTTCATAATACATGAAAAATACAAAATATATTAAAATGCTTGTAATATTATTTAACAATACTGAAATACAAGTCTTAATTGAATTATGCGATATGTTTTCTTCGTAAGATAACGATTATGCTCCTCAACACGACTAATCGCTCACTCTCTTGCAAAGGGATGGAAATAAAATAAAACAAAAACTTCAAATTATTTATTTTAAGACTAAACATTATCCCCCACAAAATAAAAATAAATTAGAAAGAGAGCTAAATCCAAAGAGAGACATAGAGAATACTTCTACATACAAAAGAAAGAAGCCAAAACTATATTTTGTCTTCATATAGGGTTGGAAGGAGAGGCCACTTTGATGGATGGATATCTTTAATTAAGGCTTAGGTAGGAAAGCATGTGGCTTCTCATGGCCAGCTATTTTCTTATTATTAAGTCTGCTTCAAACTACTACATTTTTCTTACATATATGCACTAATAACTAGAAATCTACAACTAATATTCCTCATTTATGTGGTGTGGGATAGAGAAAACATAGTTCTATGATTGAGTTGCTTGACCAAAGGCTATGATTAAAGAAAGGCATGTGGTGAGAACAAGGGGACAGCAACCACACACCCCATGTTATGTTGTATTAAAGATATTATAATTCTCTGTAATTAAATCATATTTAAATTTGTAAATTGGATAGTAGGATGTTGTCATGTATTGAGTGAGCTTGTATTAATATTAAATTGTTTGTGATTTTGTGCAATTGTACCTTTTTTTTTTGTTTTTGGTTTGTTATTTTTTTAGGAATAGAGAAAATTAACATATATTTTTATTAAGCGGGTCGGGTTAATATGAATATATGGAGGATATGTGTGTGATTATAATTAGTAGATGTGCATGACGTCAATCTCAAATATATTAAATTTATATGAATCTAGAGGAATTCATCATGGTTGAGTTTGCTGACAGTGGTTGTGAAGATCTCTACATTAGAAAATAAAAGCCATTACATGTTTGTGATTTTGTGCAATTGTGCTTTTGCGTACATGTCATTGTATCTATGCTTGAAAATATGTATTTCGCTTTTTAAGAGTTAAAATAGTGATATTTTTAACTTGTGACTGAGGAGATTTGAGGGTTTAGATGTAAAGGTAAATTTTTGACGTTAGATATGTGAATATATAGGTATATATGTATGTAAATTCCTCAATCTTTTGAGCGGGTGGTATAAGTGGGTGGTATATATGTATGTAGATTCCCCAATCTTTTGAGGGCCTCATTTGAAGTAAGTTTTGCCTATATGCTAATAGAAGCTAGGTTGAGATTATGCGTTTGGATCCTGAAAATATCATCCTTGGAGTTGCAAATATATGTTGTACATAAAAAAATGTACCTGTGCTGATCCCGAGAAAGTTTAATAGTCCAAAAGGAAGAAAGTAATGTGAAGGAGGGAGAAGACTTGGAGGCCCACTTATCTGATCAAATGTAACCGTCTGAGTAAGAAAAGCAAGACCAACGCCGATCGAGTCACGAAGGCAACTGAATCCCAGTTGTTTGGGCAAAATGAGATAATGGGATGCTCACATCAACCACTATAAGAAAGTCGAAAAAAAAAAACAACTTACCTTCTGATAGATCTGACCCCAAAAAGAGCCAATTTCTCAATATAATTTCTCAATATCACCAACCATCCCTATGACAACCCAAAGCTCCTTATTAGGGACCAATAATTAACAATGCATAAAGAGTTTTATAGATATCCCTTAAGGTTTTCCTCATGGAGGAGCTAGCTAACTTTTGAGTCACGGTGGAACACCTTCTGCTAGATAGTCCAGCGTAGATCTTTCAAGAAGAGCTTCTCACTAGGGATCGAGGGTCGACAAATAGACCAGATCAACCGATCAACAAAGTTTGACTGACTAAATTAATTCTATCAATTCGAAGCAAATCAAATTCAGTCGCCCAACCATGCTGACTCAGCCTAGCCGACCAGACCCGTCCTACTAAGCTGAAGCCAAACAAACACATTTTACCAAGCCAGAAGCAGCTAAGCGACCTATTTATAAAATACGTAGAATATTTTGTACAGTCCCCATTAAAACAAAGTTAAAAATATAACATCATTATATTATACTCTCTCCCCCCATATTATACATATATAGAGAGAGAGACTTAGTCTTAGAACACTAGAGAAAAATAGTGCTACTGTTCCGACAGCATCATCGTGCATGGTATTCACGACAGTATGTCTCGCATATATTCTCCCAATTTGCATTTTTTAATGTCTTCTAGTACTTATGGCCGATGTTTGCTTGTGTATGAGTGTGAGAATCATTGATGGGCTCTTTGGCCTTTACTGCTTTTGACTTTTAAAGGAAGGAGAAGGGAGCATTTACATACATATATATTAGCACATAATTTTTATGTATTTACACATCTCAGGTTTCTAATTTTATATTTATACACATAACACTCAATTTTCTTACATGTATAAAATTGTTCAACACTATTATTGTTAGGTATGACTCATATCTAGGGAGTTGGAGTTTTTTGGTGAAGAGATGTGTCTCCTGATGAAAAGGAGCGTCTCTTGGAATAAAGGGGGTTGGGGGGAGCGAGGGTGTGATTGTAATTTTATCTGAGGGTTTGTATATGTCTATATATATGTGTAACCCTATGTGATGAATATTGTAACCTCTCTGACATAGTGAAAACAACCGCTCACTCCCGATGACGTAGGCAATTCTTTGCCGAACCTTGTTAAATCTCTGTGTTTTTCTTCTAGTTTGTGATGATTCCTGTTTTATTCCGCCCTAATTTCGCAATAATTGGTATCAGAGCCTCTTTCGAGGGAACATGAGGAGATCGACGCAGGAAGAAGATTTGAGAAGAAGTTCGGGCTGTTTTGTCGGTTTTGCGGCAATTCTCAGACGTTCGCGCGAATCAGAGTAGCGCGGAATGAGAAAGGCTACTGCCCGTCGATCTTCTGCGAACAGGAGTTCAGACAGAAGTTCGCGGACGGGCTTCGAGGACGAGGGTGTTCGGTGCTTGCGAATCGCAGGAGAAGGAGGTTCTTCGCGATTAGCGAGTGGACTACAACAGCGACGATTCGTGACAGGGCTTTGGTTCGCGGTTTTTCCGGCAGGCGGATTCACGCGCGACAGTTTTGCGACAGTTCGCGTGGAGTCGGATTCATGCGTGCCAGGAAGGCAGAGGCGATCTTCGACAATCGCCGATTAGCGAGTGGACTACAACAGCGATGATTCGCGAAGGGCTTTGGTTCGCGGTTTTTCCGACAGGCGGATTCACACGCGACAGCTTTTCGGGATTCGCACGCGACAGTTTTGCGACAGTTCGCGTGGAGGCGGATTCACGCGTGCCAGGAAGGCAGAGGCGATCTTCGACAATCGCGGGTTTCTTCCGTGCGCAACAGGCGAAGCATTCGGAGGAGAAAGAGCCCGCGAAGGCGCTTCGGAAGGAGGCGACAAGCATCCGAGGTTTCTGCGGAGGAGTGCGATTGGCAGTTCGCGAACGGCGTTCGCTCGGTTGTTCGACGGTTCTCGCACGTCGTTCGCCTCTTGATTCGCGGGCAGGCGCGGACAGGAGTGAAGGTTTCTTCCGAGAGTTTTGCGACCGCGAAAAGACAGTTAGTGCAGAGGAGTTGGGCAGATACAACAATCCGTGGGAAACAGAGGCTGTCCACTGCGAACAAGAGCCTTGCTTTGTGTAAAATCTGAGGAATTCGACCAGTTAAATTCGCCGGTTTGTCGCAAGAGATTTATCGACAGGTGGAGTTCGACAGGGTGCAGGAGGCGAGCAAACACAATTATTTCGTGAACAGGAGTTTCGTGGAGGTATTCCTCGAGCAGGTGCGAAGGGATTCGTGGCTCATAAAACAACAATTGGCCGAGGTACTGGTACGAACAAGAAAAGTGTTTCGTGGGAAAATTTGATTCACGAATCACAGGAGAATCACGGGATAGTTTGTGTTGATTCCTGTTTTATTCCGCCCTAATTTCACAACAATTATCATTTTAAAAAAATAAAATTCACTTTCTCTTGCATAAGTTTAAGAAATCAAAGTGTTATGTATGCAAACATGAATGCTACTCGTTTCTATGTATTTATATATCTAACATCTAAACTTTAATTTTTACATATATGCCTCGTACCTATTTAAGAAATGTGTATTATACTCACGTGCCTAAAAAATCTCTTGCTTAAATGAGAGCCCTTTCATCAACCATCACTTCTCCTTAATGATTTTGTTTTTTAAATCATTAAGAATCATGCACAAAGAGCCCACTTAAATCACATATATCCATCATCCACATATTTTTCAACTTTGTTCAACCATAGAAGAAGACACCCTAGACCCATGAAAGCTATATATCACACTAACCACTCAATTCTAGCCGAACTATCATCTCTAGCATTTAACAACCCCATAAGAAAATATGATTCTTACACCAACTCGGTTTTTTAATTGTTTTATGTGGAACTAAATCTAATAATGTCACAAACTTTTACAATAAAGTACCGATAAAGGATGAAAGGTAACTAAAGTTAAACCCTAATGCCTAAATATATGAAATGAAAAGTTACATTTCTAGCCCCTAAACTTCAATTTTTACATATATCTCAATGAAAATCTGAAGTGTATTTCACTTCTTAAAAATTAAAATTAGTAATATTTTGATTTGATATAAAAGACTTTGGTGATATAAATATCAAATTTCAAAATTTTAGTTGTCAGACATGTGAATATAGAAGAATTGTGTGTTATACGCACAAATGCTTCACAACATCTTCGCAAAAGAAGAGCCCGAAGGACAATATGAGATATTCAAACTCACAACATCACAACAAAAAATTACACCCATAATCACTATATCAACATTAATTGCGCTATAAAGCAATAATTGAAACAAGAATAGAAATTGAAGCATAAAAAAATAATATACAACAAAAAAAAAGAAAAGAAAAACAGGGACATAATCTCTAAATCCTCTCAACACAACTCCTCCTCTCTTCTCCTACTACCTTGACCGCACCTTATCAGCTGAAGCATGTCAACTACCTCCGCCATATCCGGCCGGCTAGACGGCACCCGCGAAGTACAAATCAACCCAAGCTTGATCACCGGCGCACTCTCCTCCTCCGGAAAATTTCCACGAAGCCTCCCATCCACGTACTCCTCTACACCACCCTCCTCCATCGCCACCCTAACAATGTCACAGAGAACCACCACATCATCTTCCATGTACTCCAATGGCCTCCTTCCCGTAACTATCTCAAGCACCAGCACTCCAAATCCATACACATCACTCTTCTCTGTTATCCTCACTGACCTGCAACCAAATTCTGGAGCCATGTATCCAATCTTACTGCTCAGCACAAACCGATCGAGCATCGGCAACATTTTCGCTAATCCGTAGTCTGCAACTTTCGGATCCCCGCAGCTGTCGAGCAGAACGTTGGTGGATTTCAGATTGTAGTGAATCACACCATGCTTGTGAAGATAAGCCAAACTCTCTGCAATTCCGGAAATGATGTTGAATCTTTGTCGCCATGAGAGAGGGTTGGATTCCGAGCTTTCATGGAGGTGGTCGTACAAGTTTCCATGAGTTACATGCTCGTATATGAGGAGTTGCAGTGAAGGAGTCCAGTAATAGCCTTCGAGTTTTACAAGATTTGGATGTTGGATCTTCCCCAAGTTCTTCGCTTCCCGCTCGAATTCGTCTTGGGATTTTACGAGGCTCGAAACGGTAAGCTTTTTAATGGCGACGGGACGACCGTCTTGGAGCACGGCCTTGTAAACTGCCCCGAAACCTCCTCGGCCGAGCTCGCAATCGTTGTTAAAGAGAAGATGAGCAGCAGGACTGAACTCTGGTTCTTCTCCCGAGAACATGACTAACTTCCCTGAATCGGTGTCAGTAGTTGGGGATTGGCTGATAAAGTCGTCGGATGGCTGCGGAGCGGCGGCGGAAATGGCGACGGAAGCTTGAACTCGAAGGTTGAGGATGCTAATGGTGATGACACCTAGTGCGATAATGGCAGCAGCAGCAATGGCCAAGAGTGCAGAGATGCTAAGGATGATCTTCTTGTGATGAGTGGGGAGAGCAGGGGAAGTGGAAGGTTTTGAGAACCATGAATTAGGGTTGAAGACGATAGGTTTTGGGAGAACAGAACGGCAGGAACGGTTAACAATGCCGCCGCATAGATTGGGATTGTGTGAGAGAGAGGAAGGAGAGATTGTGTTGAAGAAGTTTCCGATAGGAAGTTCACCGGAGAAATTGTTGTGTGAGATGTTGAAGGAAAGGAGGTGAGGAAGGTCTCCAAGTTGATTGGGTAGTGTTCCATTAAGTTTGTTTGAGGAAAGATCTACATGTTGGAGATTCGTGAGGTTATTCATGGATGAGGGAATTGAACCTGTGAGATTATTCTGTGAAAGATTCCTGCATGTAAAATCCAAATCAAAACAAATTATCAGAAAAATGGCATGGAATCAATTGAAACATGAACCCAAGGTAGAAAAGATTGGAACTTTGAGAGCAATCAGTTATTAGAATAGAAATGAATGCATGAAACTCTGCAAAACTTTTGTAAATCTCTTTAAAATGATAGATTTAGTTTTTCAGAAAAGTGAAAATGACATTTCTTTCTAAAAAATTCGGAGTGAAACAAGAAATCAAAACAAAATAAAGAAAATGACAGAACTTACAGGGAGGTTAAAGAAGCACAGCCACCAATTTCTGGTGGAATGATCCCACCAAGCAGATTCCCACTGAGATCAAGGACTTCAATGGACTTCATTTCTCCCAAATTTGTTGGTATAAAGCCTGAAATTTTATTGAAGGACAAGTTTAGCAACTGCAAGCTATGTATGGCTGAGATTTCTATTGGAAAATTTCCAGAGAAAGAATTGCTTGATAGATCTATCACAACAAGGCTTGAAGAATTCATTGTTGGAATCCTTATCGTTCCGCTCATTCTATTCTCAGAAATCACAATCTTTCTTAATTTCAGTTCGAAAAACCATGAGGGGACATTGCCAGTGAGCAGATTTTGACTAAGATCAACATCCAAAAGGCTTTTGCTGTCGGCCATTGATTCCGGTACGCTGCCGGTGAACTCATTTTTAGAAAAGTTCAGCTTTTCCAAAGCTTGCAGATCACCTATGGAATCAGGAAGCCAGCCTGAGAACTGATTATTTGACAAATCCAAAACCTGAAGAGACTTCATCTCTCCAACCCAAGTTGGAAGTTCCCCGGTGAAAGAATTGGTGTCTAATAATAAAAAGCTGCACAATGAGAGTTTCTGCAATGAGCTTGGAAGATTACCAGACAGCAGATTTTCTCCGACGTCGATTGATTTCAGAAGAAAACAAAACCCAAAATCCTCAGGCAACTTCCCTGAAAGTTGGTTTCTTCGCAAGCTCAACGACCGGAGATTAAACATAAGGCTAACACCCGCCGGAATCTCCCCTGTAAGAGAGTTGTGAGAGAGGTCGAGAGACCGGAGAGCATTCAAAGACCACATTTTTTTGGGTAAAGAACCGGAAAGCAGATTCGAGGAGAGGTTGAGCGCACCAAGAGTGGAACAAGAATCGACATTGCTTGGTATCTCGCCATAAAGCTTGTTGCTTGCTAACGAGAGGAATCTCAAATATCGGCATTGTTCGAAGAACTCATCGGGGATAGAACCAGAGAGACTGTTATGGCTGAGATCAACACTGCGGAGGCTCTTAAGCTGTAGAAGGTCAGCATTGAGCTCGCCGGAGAAGTTATTGCGTGAAAGGGACAGAGTTTGAAGTGATTGAAGCTGGAGAAGACCACGGTCGAGCTTGCCAGAAAGGGAGAAGCCATCAAGGGCGAGCTCAACGGTTCTGTTTGTGTTTGTGTCGCACTTGACTCCGAGCCAGTTGCAGGTGTTCTCGTCGTCTTCGTTCCAAGATTCGAGCTTTTTGTTGGGGTCTTTGAGGTATGCCTTAAAGACGAGGAGGCCGAGGACGTCGTCGTTTAGGGTAAGGAAAGCGGAGCTAGTGAGAAGGAATAGGAGGAGGAAGAAGAAGAACAACAGCGGAGGAAGCAGAGTGCTCATTAGTGGTATTAAGAAGACGAGTTAAGTCGTATTAGGAAGAAGTAGAAGAGCCATGAAACTGTAACGGAAGCTCCTTTAAGTGGGTTTCCGAAGAGAAGAAAGATGAAGAGAGAAGGCTGTAATCGATAAAAGTGAGGGAGGGGAAACGGCGAGTTCCGCCGGAATCTGGCTACATTATAGACGACGGAGCTGATTGATTTTTGAGACTTTCCACTGAATCCGCTAGAGAGAGAGAGAGAGACAGAGAGAGCGAGGGAGTGAGCGAGGAGACCATGGACAGGTTCTTTGACCCCCTGAGGTTTTTGTTGGCGTGTCTTACGCGTGGCAACATTGAGCGAAGTCAAAAGCCGTAAGACGTGGAGATTAAGGTGTCAAGAAAACAACTGTTTATTGACACCCCAAACGTTACCCAACTGTTTAAGCTCACACCGATGGGTGAATGGGTGCTCTGCGAAACTTATATTAAAAAATGCTATTGAAAATTACCCAAAAAAATAAAAAAAAGTAAAACTAAATGTTTAGAAAAAAATATTTTTTTATGAGTGAATTTTGAATATGAGACTTATTAGTGTAAAAGAAAATGTCCAACTCTTAGACCATCATCTCATTCCAGAGTTATGTATATAAGGGATTGTTTGGGACAGCTTATACGTGCAGGTGCATTTTTGAAAACGCCGTCTAACCGTTTGGTTTGCGCGTTTTTGAAAATGCTCTCTGCCGCGTTTGAGTTTTTTACACTAAACGCAGGCCACAGGTAGACCCGTTGGCCGCATTTCAGGATAAGCTGCTTATCCTGAAACCCAAAAGCTGCCCCAAACAAACCCTAAATCTATTTCTAGAAACATTTAAATACATTTCACCCATTTCTTAAGTAATTATTTATATGATATTTAAATATTAAAATTTATTTTTATATCACCTAAATTTTTAATATCACATAAAATATTTAAATTTTAACTTCTAAAATGTAAAATATATTTTTTCAAGCATCAATAATTAGACATATAATTAAAAATATAAATTTAAGTTACGTATATATATGTATATAATAATTAAGTGTTAGAGCTCGAGGTTAAATTAGGTATTAGTTAATTTTATAAGTACCTATCACAACTATTAACCTTGTATTCTCAGTAATTACATAAATTTGTAATAATTTTTCGATTGAAATAATCTAATTAAAATTTGATAAAAATGGATCGAAATTATTATATACAATTAATCAATCAAAAATTCATTTGATTACTAATATTAAAAATTATTCTAACTAAAGTTCAAAAGGGATATTCAAACATATTTTTACATTTTTAATATTTGCCTTGTATCATGTTTAGTTAACAAATAGATTTGTTAATACATGGTAATTTTGTGCGATATTATTCTGAAGCATGTGAAAACAATAAAAAAATTATATTTAAATATTTTAATTAATTTTTAATGAAAATAAATTTTATATAAAAAAATGAATTTTATATAAAAAATGTGTCTTGGATATAAATCTTGGTATAATTTTCTCATCTAAGGCTCTTTCTCCTAAGTTGTTTTTTTTTTATTTTTATTTTTTAGTCCTATCAAATATTAAAAATTTCATTTATAAATAAATAAAATGTGTTAAAATCAAATAGAACATATCAAAATTGATTAGACATAAAAGTTATATCTGTCACCATATTAAATGCATTTTTTCATTCATGTTGATTCAAATTATAAACTCTGGCTTGCACTGGGTTATGCATGTCTGAAGTAGCCTGCTCACTTTGATTTCCACTAGGCTTTACAACTATAGTCCTACCTCATACTCTTCTTCCAAAACTTTCACTGTATGCTTTTGGTGATACATTGCTCTGCCTCATTGCTTGCCTTGGGCAATCTACCATCTTATGGAAAAATGTCCACATCTAAAACACTGTCATATAAGTAACATTGTCCTGAGTGTCTTCTTCCACAAGTAGCACATGGTAATTTATTACTGACCGATGTTGCAGACCCTTCTTTGACTGTTCAGGTCCATACCTAATTTTTTTTTTCACTAAAATTGTGTTCTTTTTACTCCTTATTAGATCTATACTAAGATACTAACAAATCAATTTCTATTAGTGTTGCTCTTTCCACTGACTCTAAAAAAACTTGAATCCTCTGTGGAACTAATGGGTGTCTCAAATCATCCATAAGTCCTCTAAAAAAATTATAACATTTCTCCTTAGCAGTACTATCTGCAATGCATATCTTGCCAAAGCAAAAAACTCAGCCTCATATTGCATCATAGTCTTACTCTCCTACATTAATCTCATGAAAGTTCCCTACTTTTGTTGTCTAGCAGATGGAGGTACAAACAACTCTTTGAAAGTATGAACAAACTCCTCCGATCGTTACCCTATCTTTGACTTCAGTGATTTTATCATTTTGCGTATTTTCTAAATTTTTGTCGTCCAAAACTTGCAAAATTATTGATATCCCTGTATTTTGGAAACTTTCATAGTGTAACTTTTAATATGATGTTGTTCTAGCTATTGTGCACATTTTGATATATGTCCTACTTCGATATTGACAGATGGAGGCACAGATAACTCTTTGAAAGTATGAAAAAACTCCTCCCATCGTTACCCTACTCCGACTTAATTGATTTTGTCATTTTGCATATTTTCTAAATTTTTGTCGTCTCGAACTTGCAAAATTAATGATATCTTTGTATTTTGGAAACTTCCACCGTGTAACTTTTAATATGATGTTGCCTAGCTATTCTGCACATTTTGACATATGCATATTGAATTTTCACCAGGTATTTCAGATGTTTGAGGCAAAAGTTTTGATTTGAGCTCTATAAAATTTTATAAAATTTGAATTTAAAATATACATATTATGAAATAATTACATAAAGAGGATGACAAACATGCTTAATATATAATTTTTTATTTTAATTAAGGCATATAGATAGGTCATATTATTGAATACCGTGGATCTCCCAAATTTATTGTACATACTTGCCTCACATATATATTGTGATGTTGAGCATATTATAACTGCTTGAAATGATATGATATTGTGAAATGTGTGTGTGCAAGAAAGACTTACTACTATGATTCAAGTATGCGAAGATACGTACCTTGTGCGGGAGGGTGGGTCGATGGACCTTCTTTTGATGGGTTAGTAGTGCAAACCAAATACTTGTTTGGAGTTATAAGGGATGAGTATGATATGATATGAGTGCCGACGGACTGGGCATGAAAATTCTCGTTTACTGTGCACATGACTGGCTCTTCTGATAGTTTTTATTGATATGATATGATATGATATGATACTATACCTATTTTACTATGATTAGTATAGAAAAGACACAACACATGATTAGCTAGATCACCTAACTTGTATATTATATGCATGATGATAGTTTTGCTTAATTATATGCCTTTTATACATTGCTACTATTGTGATTTGATAACATACTGCATGTATTTTACAGACATACTGGACATACAAACCAATTTATTTAACATAGATGACATGATTCTGATGTAATCATGCATATTATTCTATTTTCGTGCAGTGATTTTATTTGTAGGTTGTGTAACCTGCTGAGTTGTTCGCTTACTCTAGTTGCAATTAAATATTATCAGAGAAAGGTAAGGATCAAGTGGAGTGAGCTCCTAGTACTTGTTGATAGAGTTATATTTTATATATGTATTTTATGATCATGATAAATCATTATGTCGTGTCGGGATTATTAGAAAATCATGATCAATATATATAAATATTTTGTATTTAAATAACTTGATGTATATAAAGAAAATGATTTTATGATGATCTTTAGTTTTATTTTTATACTATTATTGGTGATTCGATTGCTCTGTATGATGAGAATTAGAAGATAAAAGAAATTTCTTCTAAATAGATCTTGGCCTAAATAATCTGTTGTGCACTTGATTTGGTATAATATATTAATTTATATGGGTTATGTCAGGTTGGGTCGTGACACTAGTTTTGATTTTTTTTTCTTTTGTAGTTGTTTTTTTATTAGCTATGATGTACACTTTCCTTGCTATGTGACTTTGCTATTCTTTAGAGATTATGTCCCATTATTATCATTTATCTTTATCTTTTTCATTAAATTTGGATGAAAAATCAGTTTAAACCATTTAATGAAAGTATTTTGGTATTTAAGATACTTTTGGTGGTATTGTCGCCTTCTTTTATTGCTATCTTCTTATTAGGGGTATATTATTTCCTTAGTATCAGGTTAATGTTGTTTACTATTGGTTTAGGTTTGACAGAGCTATATTTTTATCAAGATCTTGCCTCTCTAAAGGTTTTGGGTTTGCCTAATGTCATTGTTCTTTTTACTTGGATCCTAAGATTTTGATTACGTGTTGTTTTACGTTATTGATATTGGTTTTGCTGATGGTTGCTAATACTTACAGCTTGGTGGTGTTCATTGTTATCGATTCTGGTGTTGTTGCCGGTTGTTGATTCTCGTGACTTTGGTGTTGTGGACGGTTGCCTGATATTGTTATGACTATGGTTTGTTCTTCGTGGCTTTTCCTTGGAGAGTTGTTGCGGTTCTTGGAGGTATATTCTATTATGGTGTTTCTTTCGTGGATCAACTATTATGATTTGGCAGCTGTTCAATTATTTTCCGTCTTTTGGTCAGAGTTTGCTTTTTGTATTAGTTGCTCGTCATTGATAGAGTTGGTTTAATGTTTTTTTCTTCAGCCCCTATGTTCTTATGGTGGGATTTTGCTCCTTTTTTTGTTTAGTGTCTTTTTTTTTGAATCAATCATTTAGAGCTGTATAATTCTATTTGTATTTAGGTTGTTTTGTTTTAATAAATCTGGGTTAGATCCTCACTTTTCCCAAAAAAAAGTTATTTTGTGTGATAATCTGAAAAGAATTTATTAACTAAAGAAATTTATTTAAATCATAGCTCCTAGCTAAATATTTGTTCCAAAATAATTCGGTTCTCGTTCCAAGAGTTGGTATAAAGACTTCTTGATTTGGAAGACACATATTTAAAGATTTGAAGCTTATTCTAACTACTAATATATAGAAATATGACAAAAAAAAAAAAAAAAAAAAATAAATAAGAAAAAAAAAAATCAAACATGAGGATGAGGATTGGCCTTAGAAATATCATCAAACATATTGCCTGTCTTATTGTTGATATTTAACAACTTAATCACAATTAAAATATAATATAAGGTAATAAAATAAATTTTATTTATGCATTCTCAATTAAAGGAAATTAATAGATACGCCTTTCGTGATAAATTATTGCATATGGACACCACATGCAGAGATGCACGTGGTGTTCGATCTACACAATAGATCACGGTGA